ATGTTAAAGCATGTGTATTTGGGTTTTATTTTTTCATTTTATTATTTATTTATTTATTTTTTTTTTATCCTCACCCGAGGACATTTTTCCATTTTTTGATCAGCTAGAGCGGGAAGGAGAGAGAGGAAGAGAGAAACATCGATGTGAAAGGGACACATTGAATGGCTGCCACCCGCATGACCCAGCCAGGGCAGGGGACAAACTGCAACCGAGGTACATGCCCTTAGTGGGAACCGAACCCGGGTCTCTCTGGACCGCAGGCTGATGCTCTAACCCCTGAGCCAAACCGGCCAGGGCTGTACTTGGGTTTTATTTTTATTTATTTATTTATTTTATCCTCACCCGAGGACATTTTTCCATTTTTTGTACAGATAGAGTGGGAGGGAGAGAGAGGAAGAGATAGAGAGAAACATCGATGTGAAAGGGACACATCGAGTGGCTGCCACTGCACTACCAACCAGGACGACTGACCAGGGCCGGGGACAAACTGCAACCGAAGTATGTGCCCTTATTGGGAACCGAACCCTGGTCTCTCCGGACCGCAGGCCGACGCTCTAACTGCTGAGCCAAACCGGCCAAGGCTGTACTTGGGTTTTAAATACCCAGATCCCACCTACAGTTGAAGTAAATCTTGTGCATATAATTGCAGAAACATAGAACTGTATTTATTGTTACAATTAATCTATTGAAATACTGTTGGATTATATGCATGAATTGTATATAATAACATTTAATGATTTTGCCTGGATCCTAAAATGTAAAATTTAGGCTGACTCAACATCATGTTTGTTATGACTTTGTAGGAAAAGGTCCTACTGCTTGGTCTTCTGTAGTTAGAGATTTCTGGAAGTTTTAGGAACGAATTCGCATTGCAGGTGTCAGAAAATCACTAATAGTATCAGCTCATACACGTTCAAGGGAAGCACTACAATGAAATAGTTACAAATGTGGGCTTTGCCAGTTACAAACGTGTGGCCCTGGGTAAGTGACCTAATGTTCCTAATCTGTAAAATTGGAATAATAATAGAACTCACCTCAGCACGTCCTGAGGAGAATGAAATGAAGTAACAGGGTTAAAGTGCCTAAAACACTTCATGCAGATTATTTTTCTAGGAGTCTGTGAGAGATCAGTGCTGGTTGGATGCTGATTTAACAATTGTGCTTGATTAGGGGCTTAAAAGATCAATAACATCAAAGCAGCCTCCCCAAATACCACTTATAGCAATATTTAGCAAACATATATAGTAGGTGCCCAGATAATTGCCCTGTAAATTATTCTATCACTAGAATAATCCCTCAAACCCATGGCAAGGCACACAGCCCTTTCACGACGCTAATTCAAACCATAGTCTTCTTTCCAGAAGATGTGGTCCAGAAGGTGGCCACCATGGATGAATCCCCCTAGCAGCTATCCCACATCCACTGCCCAGCTGACTGGTCTGTGCCAGTCATGGTGGGCCCCTTCCTAGTGACTATGTCAGGAGAAGGCAGGCATAAGTGTGGTCCTGAAGCAGTGTGGAGGACCTGCTGGATGCCTCTAAGAAAAGGCTAGCTATAGGAAGCTAAGCTCTCCCTCCCTGGTGACTGTGAACAGACAAGCCTGTTAGCCCCAACATCAGTGGCAGTCACCAATCAGCCTTTTGGGAACCAGTCCTGGAATCAAGCTGACAATAGACAGGTTAGAGAAACCCAAAGAGCTTGGTTCTCAGGGATACTCACCAACACTGAACCTGCCCTGCTTTTGTACCTCCTCTTGTTGAGCTAGTTTTGTAACTGTTTAAATCAGCATGAGGTTGGTTTCCTTTTCTCTTGCTCTTGAAAATAGACAACTGACCATTACTGTATGGAAGCACAGAAGCTTACCTGATCACAAAAGCTGCAAATCACAGGTCGAATCAATCCACAGAATATTCCAGCATGTTGTTAGTTTGTGCTGTAGCAGAAACAACTCGGGCTCCAGTCTGGTCCTGCTACTCCTGGCCCAGGTGGCTTCAGTCTCCATTTAGGGCTTCAGTGTTCAGTGATGACATTTACATTGTCAATCAAATGAAAGCCTGAACTAGATGAAGAAAAGACTCTAACTATAGTCTGGCCAGTATGGGTCAGTTTTGAGCATCAACCCATGCACCGAGAGGTCACTGGTTCGAGAGTCAGGGTACATTCTGGGGTTGCAGGCTTGAGCCCCAGTAGGGGATGTGCAAGAAGCAGCCAATCCATGTTTCTTTCTCATTGATGTTTCTATCTACTTCTCTATTCCTCTCCCTTCCTTTCTCTCTAAAAATCAATAAAAACATTACCAAAAAAAAGACTCTGTTATCCTTTAGTGGCTGTAGTAGGGCTGTAAGGGCCCTGTTGTCAGGGTCCTCGACATTGGCTTGCATGGTGCATGCCCAAAGGTCAACCTGAAAATCAGCCCCTCACTCCACACCTGCACACAGGGCTAGGCTGCATCCAAGGGAGAAATAATGAGTGGTCAGTCTGTCAGCCTGACCAGAACAATTCAGAGCATATTTTGTTAATTCTCACCAAGGATATTTTCCCACTGGTTTATAGATAAAGTGGAAAGGAGGGGAGAGAAACATCAATGTGAGAGACACATCGATTGGCTGCCTTCTGCATGACCCCATTAGGGGCTGGGATTGAACCTACAACCCAGGTACATGCCCTTGACTAGGAATCAAACCTGCGACCCTTCGGTCCGTGGGCTGATGCTCTAGCCCCTGAACCAAACCAGCCAGGACCAGAGCATATTTTTGATGTGTAAAATAATTATTAGGACCCAGAAACTCAATCAATATCCTTGGACATGACTATGTTTCTAGAGTGCTTTGTAATAGTAATAATGAACAGAATGATTCCTACTTACAAGACTAATTCAGGCTGGAAAGACACATCCAGTCTGCAGGGAAGGTGTGAAGCCACCATAATTTAACTGCTGCCAGCTTTAAGTAAAATTTTATAAAATTTTTTAAAGTTTTATAAAATTTTACTGATTCTCAGCAGGCAGAGGCCAACCTTGTGTTTTCCTGAGCTCAGGGATAGGTCACTGAAAGCAAACAGAGGGAAGAAAGACCCAGTGAAGAAAGTAGTTCATGATACCCATGCCAGGCCTGGAGAGGAGGGGAGAGAAACATCAATGTGAGAGACACATTGATTGGCTGCCCTCTCCAGGCCTGGTTTCTCTTTCTTTTTTTTTTTTATCCTCACCCGAGGACACTTTTTCATTCTTTGTTCAGATAGAGCAGGAGGGAGAGAGAGAGAGAAACATCGATGTGAAAGGGACACATCGAGTGGCTGCCACCCGCACGACCAACCAGGGCCGGGGACAAACTGCAACCGAGGTACATGCCCTTAGCGGGAACCGAACCCGGGCCTCTCAGGACCGCAGGCCAACGCTCTAACCGCTGAGCCAAACTGGCCAGGGCCCTGGTTTCTCTTTCTTACCATTTCCTTTTTCTTTTTCAATCCTCAGCCAATGATATGTTTTTATTGATATTTTGAGAGAGAGAGGAAGGGAGAGGGAGAGAAGGAAACATCGATCAGTTGCCTGCCATACAACTCCCTGACCGGGGATCAAACCTACAACCTAGGAATCGAACCTGCAACCTTTTAGTGTATGGGATAATACTTCAACTAACCGAGCCACTTGGCCAGGGCTCTTTCTTGCCATTTTCATGGATAACAAGGAAGGTCTTTTTTGCATATTGTCTTCATTTTGTACTGTCACAGATCAGGGCCCATGACTACATTTTCACTTTGTATAACATTGCCATGCCACAAGTTTATGGTTTTCAGTTCACTTTTACAAGCATTCACTTTGCACTTGATCCCCTGAGTTCTCTGGGAAGCTAGAATAATCTCCAGGTGAGATGAAGACACTGAGGCTGAGAGCTTCTGAAATGAGTTACTTGCTCAGGGCCCCAGTTCTAATTTCTGAGGCACAGCTTGGCAGAATACTGCTTCCTCCCAACAAACAGCCTTTGCCGTAAGTACCCAGTGAAGGGGCTGCTCTGTGCCCAGGGAACGGGCAAAGCAGACACTGTGGGAGGCCTCAGGCAGCATTACTTCTTATGGTGTCAAAGCTGGCCATTTCTCCAGCCTCTGGTCCCAGTGGGAAGGAGTACCCTCAGGCCAGTTGGGTGGCTTCATGTGGGCAAGCTCCACAGGAAGCCAGGTGACATGGACATGTAAAATGGGCTGGAGGAAGAGAAGGATAGGGAAGGAACAAGAAGTAAAGTTGGCCAGAAGAAATTGGCTGAAATGAGTATACAAAGAACCATGGGAAGGACAGGTAAAAACAGGCATATCCTTGCTCAATCACACATGACTGGAGGACCTTGGTGGCCTCTGCAACTTCCTTCTACAAAACCCACTGAGTATATTTGATCTATCACCTGGGTGTTTTTATTAGGATAACTATTCACTGAGAAATAAAAGCCCTATTACCTCTGTTTTATAGAGTATCAGAAATAGGATATTATATGGTAAGAGAGGCCTTCAAGTGACTTCCAGACATAATTATACCTGGAGCTCAGAAACTGACAATGGGTTATGGCACACAGCAGGTTGGGGAAACTTCTGCTGCCTGGTCCTGAAGTCCTGGCTTTGTTTTTTAAAAACTCAGAGGGTCTAGAAGGCCCATGTGAATGTCTGATGATGAAAATGATTCCATTGGAATTAAGCCCTCAAAAATTAATAAAAAGACCCGTCTAATCACTTAGTTAGAATCATTAAATATTTAATGCAAACATTTTAAAAGAACTGCCAACTAGAAAAAAAAAATTCCCCTGAAAATATTTAATGTAAATAACTATTTGAGATGGTGCTTTTTACGAAAAGTTTGTCAGCAAATGCCTTTTTTTAGGGGACAGGCAGTAGGAGGATGGGGACAGGACATCACAAAATGATATGATTGCTTTTTATTTCAATGAGAATAACAAGGAATTCCACCCATTCCCCCCACCCCCCAATTTGCTTTATGTAAAAATACTTCCGGCATAATGAGCAGCAGTCATCAGCAGGAGGTGACTGAGCCCCAGGCACCTAGAGAGTATCTTCAAGCCACTACACTTCTGTGCTCCCTCCCTCACTGTGTCCAGAGCCATTGGGCAAGACCACAAATTCACCTGCTGATCGTTATCTTATTTTCTCTCTTTTTATCTCTCTCAAGGTTTCGGTAATACAGAAGGATTACCATGTCGAAATAAGAACAGGTTTTCATAAACATAACGCTGTTAGCTCATGTGGGGTAAAACTCAGGAAGGCACACAATAAATTAAAGCAGACCTTGTCTCTTTGGAGGGTTTGCAGTGACCTCCAGGGCAAGGGCTGAATCTGCCAGCAGCTGAGCTTCCAGCACTGGTGTAGTGATGAGGATGCCATGGGAAGGAGGGAGTCCCCCTCCTTTACTAAGTCACTGTGTCAGTATACAGGTCACGGGATCAAATGGAGGAGGAAATGCTCTCCTTCCTATCCAGTGCCATGCGCCATCCACGGTAAGGAGAACTCTTCCCTCCGAGGGTCGCCATAGCCAGGTCTGCAGTCCATTTTCCATACACCCTTGTTGCGAACTGGTGGCAAATTAGTCCACAGGACTCCATCTGCTATTTACTTAAGTAAATCACTCAGAAACATAAAACTGGAGGTTGTAGCTCAGTAAAACAATAAAGTGCTTTTGATGAGAGTAGCTGTTATTTACTGGTTGTTTGTTGTTTCACCTGAGGCACCGAAATCAATAATATGAAAGGTGACAATGTTTACCAGGAATAAAAGTTGAAAAAGCTTGTTTCTACTAAAAAGCCTGCATTTCTAAAATGTATTTTTCTATTGGTTTCCATGTCTTCATGTTATTGCATTTTAACTCACTGCTGGGTAAGGAAATAGTTTATGCTAGGGTGGGGCGGGGTGGCAAACATGAAGACTGAAAAGGAACTGTCCATAAATATCCATTAAGGGCTCCATTTATGATGAAAGCAAGGGGGTTCCAGCAGAAAAGGTCAGGCCCCCATGCTGAATCCAATGTGTGTACAGATGAGCAGAGACACGGACTGGCTTTTAGAAGGGTCCACATATCAACCTAAGGGTTTATTCTGAGTCCACATGCTTGATAACTGCTATAACACACTTGCATCTTCCATGGCCTCAATCCACCTGTAAAACAAAGGAGAGAAGACACTTGGTGTTGTGACTGTGCCTGTGACTCTGGTCACAGAACCTATAAGTGACTAGACTAGATTACTATTAGCCTAAGGTCAGGGACTACATCATATTCATATTTATTTGTTTCCCCAGTATTTAGCAAAGGGCCTAGAATGCAGTACAAAGGTTTGCTGAATCAGTGCATGCCTGTATGAATAAATCATAATAATCTTTAAACATTGCAGAATTAGCCCTGCCTGGTGTGGCTCAGTGGTTGGAGCATTGGTTAACACACTGAAGGGTCAAGGATTCGATTCCTGGTCAAGGGCACATACCTGGGTTGCAGTTTCGATTCCTGGCCCTGGTCAGGGCATGTGCAGGGGACAACCGATCTATGTGTCTCTCTCGCTTTGGTATTTCTCCATCTCCATCTCTCTCCCCCACTCCCTTCCACTCTCTCTAAAAATCAATGGAAAAAGTATCCCCCAAATTCACAGAACTAAGAATAGGCAGTTCTGCTGTTCTGCTGTGGCCCGAAGGGACTTGATGGGATAGGATGGCTGGAGAACAGAAACCAAAGCCCAAGGTAACAACTTGTTTCCTTCTGAGAAAGAGGCAAGGAGATACAGAACTAGTTATTTTGGTACCTCTGAGCTGAATTGGTATCCTCTGCTTTGAAGCTATAAAATAGGGTTTTCTTGTGATAAAGGTGAAAAACAGGTCCTACTTCGCTGCTGCCCTCCTCCTTTTCTGGGGCAATGGTGAACCCTAGCAGGGGCATACTCTCCATGGCCACTGTGTCCTACAGAGGACAGAAGGAAAAACTGATGTTAATCACGGCATTATACACAGTCAACAGCTTAGCAGTCACTGATACCTCCAATCTGAGGTGCATGATAAGCCCTTCTGTTGGGACATGCCTTGGACGTAGTGAAATAACCACACACTAACTCTTCACCCCCACTTCCTGCCAGGACCAGGCATAAGGAGGAAAAGAAACTTATCATTTTGTGACAGCCTATTAGTGTCCAGGCATTTTCACCTTCACATTATATTATATTATATTCACAGCAATCAGAAAATGTTACCCCCATTCTAAGGAGAAACTGAGACTCAGAGCTGGTAAATAACTTCCAAAGATCACACAGCACGTAAGGGGCAGAGCCAGAATTTGGACTCATGATCACCTTCTAACCCTACATTCTTTCCACTGATTCAACTGGTCAGTGACTCAGCTAGTTTTCTGGAGTTAGTTCTGATAACATATTCTGTGCTCACTGCCCCATGCCCTCATTCACAGGGCTTCAGTATGGAGCACTCGGGGTGTCTATGCTATAAAGATGCTAACAATGCAATGAGATGTACCCAGAGAATATAGATGGACCATAAAATCATAGTGCTTGGTGGAAAAAAAGGAGTTTTAACATATAAAGATATTTTTACATATACACATATTTAAGTAAAAATATATGTTCATAAACAATATAATTTTATAAAACCACATATAAACAAAGATATAATTAGTTAAGCACATTAGAATGGTTGTGGGAGGAGAAGAGAGGGGAGAAGACTTTATGTATAAACGGGAATCAATTTTCAAAGACTGCTAGATCAGAAAAATCATTTGAAAAAATTCAACATCCATTCATGATAAAAACTCACAGTAAACTAGCAGAAGGGAACGTCCTTAATTTAACAAAGCACATCTATAAAATACCTATAGCTAACATCAAACTTAATAGTGACATACTGAATATTTTTCCCCTAAGACTGAGAACAAGGCAAGAGGGTATTCACTCTTATCAGTGAAATTCAACACTGTTCAGGAAGTCCTAATCATTGCATAAAGGCAAGAAAAATAAAGAAACAACAAAGATCAGAAAGGAAGAAGTAAAACTATCTGTGCTTACAAAGACACGCTTGATTACAAAGCAACTAATAAAACTAATAATGAATTTAGTAAGGTCACAGGATAATCATTAAAAAATATATTTATATACAACTAGAAAATAAAATAAATTCTATTCAAAACTGCATCAAAAAATAAAATACTTAGGAATAAAGTTAACATAAATGCAAGAACACAAGTCTAAGTCCTCTATACAAATAACTACAGAACATTAAAAGAAAAATTAAAGAACTAAATAAATAAGGATTAATACCATGTTCATGAATTGAAAGATTCAATATTGTTAAGACGCCAATTCTCCTCAAATTGATCTATAGATTTACCAATCCCTGTCATAATCTCAGCAGACGTTTTTGTAGAAATTGACAAGTTTATATGGAAACACAAAAGACCTAGAATACCCGAAACAATCTTTTAAAAGACCAAAGTTGGAGGACTGACACAACCTGACTTTAAGGCTTACTAAAGTTATAGTAATTAAGACACTATGGTACTGGCATAAGGATTGGCAAATATATCAGGGAAACAGAATAAAGGGCCCAGAAGTAGACCAACACTTATTCAGTTATTTGATATGTATCAAAGACACCCAAATAATCTAATAGGGAAAGGAAAATCTTTTCAACCAATGGTGTTGGAACAACTGGATATCATTATGGAAAAAAAATGAACCTCGACCCCTATCTCACACCATACACAACAATTAAATTGAAACAGATCTAAATGTAAAAGCTAAAAGAGTAAAATTTTCAGAAGAAAATAAAGGGAATAACTGTGACTTTCAGTATACAAAGGTTTCTTAGGACACAGAAACAATAGCCATAAAGGAAAACACAAATAAATTAGATTTTGCTGCAGATATAGACTTCTGTTCACCAAAAGCTTCATTCATGCATTAAGAAAAAGAACAGGTAAGCCACAGACAGAGAGAATATTCACAAAGAATTCATCTGGCAAAAGACTGGTATCCAACACATATAAAGAACTCCTGTAACTCAATAACAGGAAGACAACCTACTTTAAAAATGGGCAACAGATCTAAACAGACACGTCTCAAAGCGAAATATATAAATGATCAATAAGCACATAAAAAATATTATCAGTCATTAGGAGAATCTAAATTAAAACCACATTGAGATACTACTATACATTCACCAGAATGCTAAAGTTGGACTGACAATACTGCCCTGGCTAAAGCTGGCCCTCAGACTGAAGGGTGTTGGGTTTGATTCCCAGTCAAGGGCATGTACCTGGGTTGCAGGTTCAATCTCCGGCCCCAGTTGGGGTGGTGTGGGAGGCAACCAATCGATGGTGAATGGATCAACAAACTGGTATATTCATAAAGTAGAAGACTACTCAGCCATAAAAAGAAATGACCTATTGCTATATGTGGCATGACTGAATCTTAAAAACATCATGCTGAGTGGAAGAAGTCATATGTGATTCTATTTATATGAAGATCTAACAGAGACAAAACTAATATATGGTGGAAAAAAATATAAACAGTGTGTTGCCTCTCAGACAGGTGATGAAGGGATTTATAGATATATGCATGATCAAAACCCATCAAATAGTATCCTATTTATGTACTTCATTATATGTAAATTGTACCTCAAAAGAAAAAATACACAAATATTGAACTCTTAGGGGGAAGTACACTTTGAAAAGCATTGAAAAGTAAGATGGAAGAGGGATGAATAAACAGATACTTGATCAAGAAAGTATAGTAAAGTGTTAATTGTACAATCTAGTTCATTGAAAATTCTTCCAACATTTCTTTAAGTTTGACATTTTTTATAATAATAAATAAATATAATAACTAAATAATAAAATGTTAGAGAAAAGAAAAAAGATTCCTTTATATTTCTGACAGTCACTTTCTTCCAAGACTATCCCTGAATAGCAAATTACATTAACTTTGGTCAGCTCAGGGTACATGATGTGTTCACAGTAGTGTAGACAGTGACCACTGGCTATCCACGTTATCAAACCTTTCTTCTTTGATGGAATTTAAAGCTGGTCCTATCACTAGAATATGCTTACTGAGGAATTATACAAGTTCCCCTCTCTGGAAGAAACTATTTTGGAAGCATACTTAAATTCATCTTTTAAAATCAACTTATGCTGTCACTTCCATGACAACTGTTGCTCAAAACCTAGAGACTTTGGGTTTTCCATTCTCAGATAGGACTCATCTTCTCTTTGGTGGTTATTTAATGATCACTAGCCTTTGTTCATCTAAGCCAGCATCTCTTCCCAATGTATGTCCTGTGCAACAACAGTTCTATGTGATGTTCCATGAAGAATGGCCTGTGGTCAGGCCAGCTTGGAAAATCTCCACATCTTAGAGATCCATGACATGGCTTTGTATATGAGAGATTCTGAGTACAACTGTGAGGAAGTCCCACTTCCTGCCTACCCAGGGTTCCCTCAGAACCCTGGTTCTAAAGAACCGTGTGGAGTCTGCTGGAATGCCTGCTCAAGAAGATGCCACCCTGGGCTGCAGAATGATAGTACATCACATTTCAGTTTGTCCTGGAAAGATCAAAATTCTCCCCAGCATAGATAGCCCCATCTGTGGATATGTGAGTGAAGGACCCCCTTGGGGAGGGGTCAACTCACACAGCACCCGAGACACTCAGGCCCACAGTGAGTCCCCTCTGTATGTCTGTGTGCCTGCTGGCCTCTGGAACCCGAGGACAGGGCCAACTGTAGTCGTCACAGTTGTGAGTCCTTGGTGAGGGAAGCTTTATGTCCGGAAGAAGGAAGCTGCTTTTGCTCACTCACCAGTAACTGCAGTCAGGGGAAAGGGCTGTGCACATCCTCATGGGATGGGCTGAAGCACCCACCCTCTGCAGCCGGGCAGAATGCATTTAAGTCCCATTTTCAAAGTGGATTTATTTACCCTGTGCAAGCAACTGATGGTCGGGCCTGGACATGGAAATCTTTCACATTATCCTACAGGTTCAGCCTGGGTCAGGACCAGACAGGCCCCTGCTATAGAAACACAGCCCATACCTCTTCATTCCAGAAGGAGGTTTGATTTCTAAGGCCCACTCTCCTATATTTTAGAAGATGTAAGTGTAAGATGCTCTAGAAAAATATAAACAAGTTTTACTTCATAGAAGAGTTACTATGAGGCAGTGCAGTTCCCTGATAGAAGCGCACAGACAAAAAGTGTGGTAGCTTCCTTCAACTTGTTGCATTTTGTCCCAAACAACTGGAGTGGAGAGCAGAAAGCAGCTTTATCTTATGAAGTTCTGGGTTCCGCCTGAAAGCTGGGCCTGTGACATTCAAATACTTTGCTGCATGCTGTACTGCTATAGTGCCTTATCCCCACACAGAAATGGCAAATTCCTTCGATTTGGGATGGACACACACTTGTGTGTCCACTGCAACGCTCAGCACATGGTGTTGCTCAATAAAGACTTGACTGACATGAAAATTGGAACCAGCATCCAGGCCTCACACTGCCCTGACGTGACAGGGTGTGGTGCACACCCCACATGAACATTCTGAGCTCGAGCTTAACCTTCAAGCCTTCACAGGAGAGAGGAGAAAACATGAATCACCACTACCTCACTGGCCATGTAGGTGTAGAGCACTTTGCCTTTTATGACAAACCAGAGCTTCTTCCAGTGCCTCTTGCCTTTCTTACATCGGCTGAGATAGCCACTGATGGCGGAGCCCTCTCCAGAGGCGGCCACCTGGCAGAAGGGAAGCAGAGTGGTCAGGTGGTGGTAGGCACAGTTCGGACAAAGCCAAAATGATATGCAAACAGTTGGCAGTGTTTATACTTTGAAATCTGAGACTTGGATGAGGTCTCAGGATTCATCTAACACCTCAAAGGCAGCACAATAATACCTTGGTTTGAGACAGGTTTATTGACAGGAACCAAGAGTCAAAAGCTGCCTTCAGGAGTGCTGTCCCCTAGTGGCATTCTAGATTCCTGGTCCTCCCCAAGCCCCAAATCCCCACATTATGAAACTGATACCTGGGGGAAGGGTTCTTTCTTCCTTCTAAAATTGGTCCTTACACTTTTCAGCTTAATGTCTTCTTGCATTTAAGGAAGGATCCTCTTTGTACTGTTTACCTAAAGGTTTTATCATCTCCTGCCTAATGAAATGTGCTAAGTTCTCTTCTTTTTATTAGTAGTCGTCTGTCGGACAGGCTTTATGTGGGGGTTAAGAACACATGCTTGGTTAAGTAAGACCAATCTAGGGTTCCAATCCAGGTGCTACCAGTTTATAGACGGGTAATGGTGTACAATTTAGTTCCTTCTAAGTTTCAGTTTCTTTACTAGTTAAATTGAAATTAAATGACACAAGACAGGTAACCTACGTAACAGGCACAGTGACTAAACCACAATAAGTGCTCCATAAACATTAATCTTACTATTAGAGCAAAGTGGCCAGGTTTAGTAATAATTTCATTTGACTTTCTCATTTTATAGATGGGGAAACTGTGGCTCAGGTGAATGAAGAGATCCACCGAAGGTCAAATCCCTATTTAATTGAAGAGAGGTAAGAACTTGAATCTCTCAGCAAATACTCCAGAGGTCAACAACTTCAGTGTAGGGAAAGGAAGCTATGACCAGCTCTGGCTATTTTGAGAAGCATAGGAAAGAAATCTGCCACAGGTCCAGGACTCTACACCAGACACTGGTTCTTTCCCCCTGCACTTGCTGTGCTGAAAAATCTCAGAGCAAGAAAGGCAGCATGGACAGAACATGTAAGCGGAAACCGATTCTGCAACCTCCCTTTCTCACAGATGCTTGGGAGGCAGCATTTTTGCAGACTTCCTTCCTCATGGGGAGCAGGTCATACTGGTGAGGTGGAGCTCCTGGGGAAGGGGAAAGGGAGGCGGGAGACTGGGACACATTTCTCCTGGGGCTACTGCAGATCCCACTGAGTGCAGTCTTTGCTGGATAACACAAAGGTTGTCACTTTGGGTAAAAATTCCCCAGGGGATGGCTGGGGCAGATCCATGTGGCAACAGGATCAGAACAGCCTGACACTAGAAGGGTAAGAGCAGTGGTTCTCAAACTCTGTCCCCAGGTAACACTCAGGTTCTACGAGCTTGGACTCAGGTAGAGCAGTACACTGAGAGTGCCAGGTGAGCTTTTCTTGATTTGTGGAAAGGGACTGGTTAAATAAATGATGGGACAATCATATGATGTAAAATGTGAGATTTGTATGCGTGAGCAAATGGGAAATAATATCTAGGAGAAATTAAGTGAAGATTCAGTATAATATGCTATCTTTCGGGTAAAAAAAGAGGATCTATAAATATACATCTTCATATGTAGATGTATTAAAATTTCTCGAAGGATCCATGAAAAACTTAATGGTGGTTACCCCTGGGATGGGTAGGACTGAAGGAGTTTGAAGAGGAAGAGAAACACACTTTTATCATATATTTTTGAAAATTTTTTTTACCATGTATGTGTTATTTCTAAGATTTTCAGCATGCAAAGGGAATTAAGTTAATGGAAAGAACTGTACCCATTAAAACATTTCATCCCCTAACAATTTTTTAAACCCTTGCCACCTGCTACTTGATAATGAATATTAATAAAAAAATTGGAAACAGCTGATCACACTTCTTTCAACAGCTTGTATATTCATGGGCACACATTTGCTTGTGATTGTGATTAGAATTTAGATAAGTCTGGTCCTATTTGCAGGATGGAATTGTGTTTAGCCAATTTTGAGGTTTCCCACAAAGAGTGCTGCAGCTTCCAGGGGGCTCGCCACCTGAGCCTGTTTGGGACCCCCAGGGTGAGAGGAGCTCAGAGGGCCTGCTGTGGGAGAGCGAAGCCAAGGCTGTAGCTGCTTTAGTAAGAAAAGCCCCAGTGGTCTGTTCAGTATCACTGAGTACTAGGTCTAGGCTATGGGGCAGGAGAGAGAGAAAGACGAGACAGGTTGAGAGAACGATGCAAAAGACATTTCCTAACACCACCACTTTGGGTCCTGCCCTCTGCCACCAAGCAGGCATCTTCTCAGTCATGCTCAGGAGATAGGCATATCCCTTGTTAGTAGTGAGTCAGTCCTTGTAAACAGGATTTGTAAAATGTCTCCCATTAGGGGTCCTCTTTGTCCCAAAGAGCCTAGTCAGGCTGGGGATGGGGGGAGGAGTGTCTGACACTGTTCACAGAAGAGGACCATGAACCATCCAAATCCCAAGATACCCATGCAGGCAGCCTCACCTGCCTTACCTCGGTCAGAGCTGAAGGGACTTTCTTCTGCTTCTTGAAGGTGGAGGGGTTGATGCTATGGAAGACGGATGAGAAGGTACTGCTCGAGAAGCGGGGGGAGGACAGAGGGAAGCTCATGCTCACTGGCCGCTCTGTAACCAAGACAAGTTATGGGGGAAGGGAGGTAAATGTCCACGTGGACAGGCACACCGTTCTTTGGAGCACCAATTCCTGTAAATCAGAGCTCCTGCTCCTTCTCAAGATGGGAACCAGCCTCACCATGGGGTTTAAGTGTGACCAGACAAATGCTCTGGGGGCACGGAGGGAAGGCTTTTCCTGGGTGCTGGCCATCCCTTCTTATCCAGGTCCCCAGGAGGCTTGGGGCTGGGCTGCCCTCGATGATGGCCTCAGTGGCCCAGAGAACTCTGGATACACTTGCTCTCCCTCCGGCACAACCCTGCTTGGGAAAGCCTATCCCCTCAGCAGTCTCTCTAGAGCCAGCTCAGCTTCATCAGGTGCCTTTCTCAGCGAGTCCTCAGCATTCTCTGACCCATAACTGTTATCCATCTCACAATCCTTATCCTAAAAAGGGCCCACAGAACACACGTCTACAAAACACTCTCGAAAAAAGAGGGCTGCTATGGCAAAGTAAACGTGAGCACCCCACTTCCTATTCTCATCACTGAGTGACACTGGCCCAATGCTTCCCAAATTTAGCCGTCCACAGAACTCTTCTTCTGGAAGCACCTATCAATTTTCCTTGGAACCAGTATTTGGGGAAATGGTGTCCAAGTGTGAGTTTAAACCCTCAGTTCCTCCTTGAGGGCTGCTTCTGTCTGAGCCTCCCAGGAAAGTGGTTTCAGGCACCAACCACAGAGACCAGGGAGAAGCCACATGGGCCTCCTGAAAAGAAGGTGAGGGTGGTCCCCAGGTACCTCTCATCAGGCCTGGGACGTCCCCGCTCCTCTTCTTTAGCTCCCCGTAGCAGCCATCGCAGACCTTGGCCATCCGGTCCTTGAGGTACTTCAGAGGGTACTTGTTTCTCGAACAGTTCCTGCACACGATCTGTAGTTGGGGATGCATGTTGGAGCAGTTCTCATCATCTCAGCACATGCTGAGGGCCAGCATCCTCTCCCCTCTGCCTACCCACCCCACCTCCTCCACCAGCTGTGCCAAGTCACCCTGCTTTTCCAGTGCAGCTGCAGAGTTTCTGTGCATGTGCTTATCTCTTTTTCTAATGAGCCCTTAACAACAACAGATACCTTTTTTTTTTTTTTTTTTTTTTTTACAAGGACAATAACCATGTATGCTACGATTTGCTTTTGGGACCATGGTGGTGTTGTGAGAGGGGCCTGGGATTTGGCACCACGGTTTGAGGATCTCAGTAAAATGGACATTAAGAGTCCCTGCCTTGCAGAGCATTGGTGTGAACATACCCCGCTCTGGGCTGGCAGCAGCAGTTGCCTGATTCCCCTGAATCCCCACCCCACGCACACACTCATCCCCAGCGGAGCTACTCACCTTGCCACAGGCGTGGCAGTGATGACGCCTCAGGGTGAGGGAGAAGTCGCAACCGCAGTTCATGCACATCATAACATGTGTGACAGGCACCAGAGTGGGGGGTCTCTCCCCCAGGCTGACCCCCAACCTCTCCCGTATCTAGAGCAATGGAATGGAGTCACGCAGTGTGGTCAGGAGACCGGCTGGATGAGTGCCCCCTTTCTTGTATGGGGTGTGTATATGTTGGGGGCAGGGGGGATAATAATTCTATAACCCCCCCTTCCCAACCATCCTGTGTCCTCCAGGAAGCTGATTTGGGTTAGAAACAGAGCCAATTGGAGGTGCTGTGCTCCAGGATGGAATTGCATAGTGACTGCCCTGAGCTGGTGGGAATATGGCAGGAGAGGTGGGAGGTAGAGGAGGAGGCAATGCCCTAATGCAAAGAGGTGCAAGTCTTCCTGGGTGTGAGGCTCCCCCAGGGAAACCCAGGGCTGTACGGCTGGTGTCAGGCAGGTCCCAGGGCCCCCCACTCACCTCCACACTGTGGTGGAAGGCAGCCAGAGCCTGGGCCTTATAGTCCTCAGGGAGGGCTCTACTCAGACAGCCATGCCACTCGTCCCGCTCTGCACAGGAGCTGTGGGCACAAGCTGGAGTTAGCGAGGGTGCGCAAGGGGACCAAGTCCAGGGCGGCCCCCTGCCCCTCCCACACGCCTGAGCCTCTCTGGGTCTGATTTCCCACCAGCAAGTACGGGCCACCTGCCAGACAGGCCTAGGCTTGCACCTCAGCACTTCCATCTGCTATTGGGGTGGCCAGTACATGCTGCTGTCCCCCAGGCCACGTCTTTACCTGCAACATGGGAGTGTTAACATTCTTCCTCTAACTCCCAGGGCTTTTGTAGGGATGAAATGACATTTGGGATATAGATGGACTTTGTCAATGGCAAAGCAAGGGGTGTTAGGGAGGCTCTGAGAGGCTCACGCTTTAGGAGAGATGGGGGTGCAGGGGGAGAGGGGCAGATAGAAGCTGGTGAAGGCCAAGGTCCCAGCCTCCCCAACTGCCTCCAGTTTCCCACATCACTTCCTAGACACTCACTCATCCAACAAGCTGACTTCCCACATCTCTATTCTATGCCTGGACGGTTACCTGGGAGGTAACAGCTACAATGGGCTGAGCTGCCGAATTCTCACAGGGCCCACTAGGTGTCGCTCTCATCCTACACTAAGTAGGCAGCCTCAGCCAGAAAAAGGACCAGTTTAGCCTGGGAGAGAGAAAGGGTAGTGGCCAGTTAGATGCCATGTCACTTTATAAAAGGAGATGTATGGGTCCCACTGTCCCTGGAAGCTTCAATGTGCAGTATCTGGGTCTGCCCTGGCCAGTTTGGCTCAGTGGTTAGAGTGTTGACCTGCAGACCAATGAAACCTGGGTTCGATTCTGGCCAAGGGCACATACCTCAGTTGCTGTTTGTCCCTGGCCCTGTCGGGGTCGCGCAGGAGGTAAAACCAGTCAATGTGTCTCTCTTGCATCGATGTTTCTCTCTCTCTCTCTCTCTCTCTCTCTCTCTCTCTCTCTCTCCCTCCCTCCCTCCCTCCCTCCCTCCCTCCCAATCTGTCTAAAGATAAATGGAAAAATGTCCTCGGGTGAGGTTTAAAAAAAAAAAAAAAAGAAGTATCTGTGTCTGCAGGAAGGTGACTGGCCTGTCAGTGACAGTGGCTCCTTGAGTCCACTGACCAAAGGGCAGTGCCCCTGCCTAAGAGAGATGGGCAGTCCCACCTGAAAGGCTGGGCTTGGTCTGTCACCACCCTCACCTGACAGCTGGGCAAACAGAAACCATACCCTGGATCTCCCCAGGTCTCTGATTTTATCTAGAGATGAGGGGAGAAAAGGCCATGGAACCCTATCCAGGCATCACCTCCTCCAGGGAGCCTCCCCTCACTCCTCCAGATGGGGTCACTCCTTGGACTTTCTACCCCTTAGGCAGTAAATAGCAGTAGAAAAGCACTCTGGGTCACACAGTCCTGTGTTTGAACCCTAGTTCTGCCTCACATGGGCTGTGTGGCCCCTCTCTAGGCTTCAACTCCTCAAGTATGGGAGGAGTTGCAAGGCCCACCTCACCTCCAAGTGTGGTGACAAGGGTCAGAGTAGGGGCCTGAGACCCAGCAGGTGTCCAATGCAGGTTACTCTTGTCATCACCACTATTCATTCTTACAGCAGCTATGTTCTGTATTGCAACCAGTTCACAACTCCTACCCAGAATGTGGGCTCCCCCAAACCTGAGCAAATCAAGCCTTAAATCATTTGTGCCCTCAGCACAGAACCTGGCACTGAGGTGTGGCTAATAAGGGCTTGATGACCAAATGCATCTATGAGACAGCATCTGCACATCCCATGTCACACCAGAGCCTCCAACTCACACAAAGGGCACTGCTACCAACCCTGGGTCACAAGCTACCCGAGAGGGAAGACATCCAAGACTTGGGAGCCCTGTTCCACCCCCCACCATGCCCAATGTGGCCCTGGCAGGAGCCACATCTCTTGGTTTCTGAGCTTGAGCTGGCCTTGCTCTAAAAGCAGGGGTGGGGGGTGAGGGGGGTGGGGGGGGCATAGGCAGGTGAGGACTGTGGAGTTCTTCCACTGCTTAAAGCCAGTGAGGAAGGACCCCTGGGCAGCCTGAGGGCCTGGAGAAAAAACAGAGTATTCTGAGAGAAAGGCCAAATCCCAAACCAGAGAAAGCTAGATGATGAATGCTCACTCATTTTTTTTCTCTCCAGACACGAAAGCCTGAAAGCAGATACTTTATGAAATAAGGTGCACAATGCATTATTTACTCACCTTAACTTTCATGTTGCTATACAGACCCAATAATCTGTAGAGTTTTACAACTGTGAGATATTGTTGTACTTTAAGACAAAGGGCTCTAGAAACCCCTGAAGTTCTATGTAATATTTTATGTGCATGCAGGATTTTTGTGGGGGTGGGGTGGAGAGAAGCCAGTTTTATCAGATTCTCAAAGTAGTCTGTGATCCAAAAATGGTTAAGAAACACTGAAAAGAAAAATTCCTTTGATCCAAAGGATACCACAATAAAACCAGACACATCCAACATGTTATTCCAAATTGTCCCATCTAAAACTCTGTCCCTTTATCTCCCAGGCCTTCCCTCCTTCCTCCTCCCCATACCTTGCAGACAGAGTCAGGCAGCACTCGGAAGTCTCAATCTTTAGAGCGTAGGGCACTTTCTCCATCACAGGGCGGCTGACCTGGAAACCGACAGAGGCACCCTCAGGGTGGGGGCATGAAGGGACAACTACAGACTAGATAGTTCCTCTAGTCCTGCCACTGCCCCTCGCTGAGCCTGAGTTTCCTCAGGTGCTCAGAGATACGGCAGATGCTGTGTGTGTGTGTGGTGGGAGCCTGGCTTTCAACTCCGACTCTGATTCCATGTTCCTTGGCCACTGCCCACCCCCAGGAAGGCGGCGGAGCTTCCCTCTCAGCCAGCCTCCTTTCTGCTGTACAAGTACCTGTTCAGTGACCACTCCCTCCCACTCCTTTGTCCAACAGGCTCCTCAGTGGAACCTTTGGTTCAAAAAGAGAACAAACCTACCTACTGAGAAAGGTGTCCCCCCCCCCCCCGCCCCCTTTCTCATGTAAAGAGCCTCCCGGAGCTAGAGAGGCCCCACAATGCCTCTTATAACTCTCCTCCTCATCTTCACCTCCCACTCCATTCTCCTACCTCAGTGTTCCCCTCTCTGGCTCCATTGCCAGAACTAACTTCCTAAAACCTCCTGCCTATTAAGCCCTCAAGAATCTCCATCAGCTCCCAGCCATCCTTGTATTCAGGATGAAGTTACACTGTGCCAGGCCACAAATGACCAGGCCCCCTTCCTTCCTGTCTCTCTGCCCTCACCCACGAGACTGTCCAGCTGGGCTGGCATCTCTCTTACATTTGTTTAAAAAATACCTCCCACTTGAACAGATATTTGCATCCCAAGTTTATAACATTATTATTTACCATAATCAAAAGGTGGAAACAACTCAAGTGTCCCTCCATGGGTGAATGGACAAACCAAATGTGATACAGATATGTACAATGGAATATTACTCAGACCCGGTCAGGGCATATGCTCAGGTTGCAGGCTCAATCCCCAGTGGGGATATGCAGGAGGCAACTGATCGATGTTTCTCTCTCTCCCTTCCTCTCTCTAAAAAAATCAATAATAAATATTTTAAAAAATTAAGACTAGAACTACCATATAATCCAGCTATTCCACTTCATTTTCTTTATCTGAAGAAAATGAAAACACTAATTTAAAAAATATATGCACTCCTATGTTCACTGAAGCATTATTTACAATCGTCAAGATATGGGAACAACCTAAGAGTCCACTGATAGATGAATGAATAAAGAAGATGTGGTACATATATACAAATGGAATATTACTCAGCCATTAAAAAAGAATGCAATCTTGCCATTTGTGACAATATGAATGGACCTTGAAGGTATAATGCTAATAAGTCAACAGGAGAAAAACAAATAATGTATGATTTCACTCTATGTGGGATCAAAAGACAAACAAACAAAACAACTCAGATACAGAGGAAAGACTGGTAGTTACCAAAGGGGTGGGGGGAGGGGACAAAAGAGTGAAGGGAGTCAACTGTATGGCGATGGATAGTAACTAGACTTTGGAAGGTGATCACTTGTAGTGTATACAGATGTTAAGTTATAATGTAAATATGAAACTTACATAATAAAAAATTTAATATATTAAAAAGTCATAACTAAAGGGGAGGGGAATTGGGGAGTTAATGTTTGATGGGTATGAAGTTTCAGTTTGGGAAGATGAGTGGTGGTAATGGTTACACAACACTATAGTGAATTGTCCATGCCACTGAATTGTATACTTAAAAATGGTTATAATGGTAAATTTTATGTATATTTTACCACAATTAAAAAAATGTACCAAATACCTACTTGTTTCCTCCCTCCAAGCATTGGCTTACACATTTCTCTCTTAAAACATCTTTCCCTATCTGTCCACATATTGTCTACTCTAAGGGGCTCAGGTCCCTTCCTCCAGGAAGCCCTCCCTCACCATTGCCCCTCCCTCCCCGACTCTGCTTCAGGCCTATCTATAGCATAATCCTGTTGTAACCCACCACATAACCCTGTTCCTTAGGGCGCCCTCTTTCCAGCTGGTCTGTGAGCTCCTAGAAGCAGGGATATTGTCTCTTCCTCACCTGAGGTCTCCCCTGCCTACCCCAGGGTGCCTAGCATTATGCATTTACCTTCATGCTGGCCACTGCCAACGTGTTCTTCAACCGGTACTTCCCATCCTTCTGGGGATATGTGTACAGGAGCATGTCGCTCATCTAGGGAGAAGAAAACCCCATCAGACGTGTCCTGGCCCTGGAAGGCTGTGCTGGGCTTCTGTCCTGAAGGATCACTGAGCACTGGGTGCACAGACATCCTGCATTCCCTCAGAGACAAGAGAGCAAAACCACCATGGCCTAAAATGTGAATCCCTTCTCCACAGTTCCACTCTTAGGTAAGTACTTAAGAGGAATACATGCAGATGCCCACAAAAAGTCAAGTACAGGGACATGCACAGAGGCATTATTCATAATAGCCAAATAGTGGAAACAGACCAACTATCAACATGTGAATGGATTAACAAACTGGGGCATCTATACTGTGGAATACTGTGGAATACCACACAGCAATCAAAAGGAACAAACTGACAATATACACAATGGCATGGATGAAGCTCAAAACATGCTGACTGAAAGAAGCCACACAGAGGAGAACACACTGCTAGTAAAACTAAACTGTAGTGACAGAAATCAGGCCAGTGTTTGCCTGGGGCAGGGATGGGGAAAGTGATTGCTAAGGGACACAGGGGAACTTTCTGAAGGGCTGAAAACGTTCTATATCTTGACCCAAGTGGTGGTTACATGATTATATAGATTTGTCAATATACACTAGCATATGTATTTAATATTGATGTATCTTACTCTATATAAATTAAGCCTCTATAAAGCATAGTTAAGGAAAGAAGGGTGGGAGGTCCTTGAGCAGAGGGAGCTGGTAGGTCCTGTACACTATTATACCTCCGGTGACATAGTAGGTGCTCAATTAATATCTGTTGAAGGAACAACTAAAACTCCCCAACCCTATGCAAGGCAGACAGGAAGACACATAATGAAAGTCACTTTACCTCCTTAGGGGAAAGTGTTTCTGTTTGGCTAAAAGGTTTACAGTTTGAAAAGACCACATCATGCTCTGGGTGGTCTGGGGCCTGTTAATCCTGACCCTGCTCTGTAGCTGCTGTGTGACTATGGACAAGCTGTTTCCCTCTCTGAGCCTCAGCTTCCTTACCTGTGAAGTTGGGGCTATCTCTATCTACCCTTACCTCATTATGGACACTGAGAAAGAATGGACCTGATGGAGCCCTCTATGCATGTAAACTAGAGGAGTTGTGAGCACTGAACACGACATGGCATCTAAGGTCTGAAACAGTGTGAGAACTCAGGGTTAACATTTTCTTTCCCTATAGACAGAGTGTGCGGAGGGAACAGAATGGATGAGTTTTCCTGCCATTAGTTCTTGGGACTCCATCATCCCAGCCAGAGCTGTGCAAGAGACTTGACTGAGACAATGAGCTGCTATGTGACCTTAGGCAAACCCTGTCTCTGGGCCTCACTGTCTCTAACTGGAGCTGGACAAATAGGGCCAGAAAATGTTTATGTAATGGGCTAGATAGTAAATATTTACGTCTCTATGGGCCATACAGTCTGTCACAACCATTCAACTCTGCTGTTGTAGCCCCAAAGCAGCCATAGACAGGAGAAACTGAGGCACATATTGGCTAGATAACCTGCCTAAGGTCACAAAGCTCACAGGTGGCAGAGCTGGAGTGGTAAATAAATAAGTGTACCTCCTGAGTGTTCAGGTGGGGTGTATTGGGGATGGCCACACAGTAAGTCCTGACCCTACCCAAACCCTGTACACAGCCTCATTCATTAGCCCACTCTGAGAAACCCACCTGAGTCAGTCACCAGTGTAGTCCCAGCTTTGTTGTGGCTGCCCCTTGAGCACCTGCTGTCATGGCAACTGCCTTTAGCACCCTGAGGTTTGACTGATGGGTTCAGGACCAGGCTGCCTCCTAATTGCCCATAGTTCTCCTTTCCTCTTCAAAGCATGTGTTTTATAGACCCGATTTGGAGGCAGAAGAGAAATTCTTCATGGAGGAGAAAGGGGGGAATTTCTCACAAAAAGGAGCCCTTAGTGGGCAGCCCCACCCACTGCTTGGGGCTGGATGGGAAGTGGGGGCCATGGTGGGAAACTCTCCACAGCATCACTGAAAACCCTGTGTGTTGGAGGGCAGATGCCCTGACTTCATTCTGCAGTTAAGATTATTTTATGAAACTGGCACCTTATAGGAACAAGGATGGCCCCTTCAGTGTGTTTGCCATGGTGCTCCCTGGCTCAAGAACCTGTCTGTCCATCCTCCTGCCATCTATCCCTCCGGAGGATATTACTAACACCTACCCAGTAGAAGGTCCTGTACAGAGAGAGAGAGAGAGAGAGAGAGAGAGAGAGAGAGAGAGAAGGGACTTAGGGACTTGGGTTCAGGCCCTGGCGGGGTTGGGGGTCTTGTGGACTACCAATGACAGGGAATCAGACAGACCCAGGCCAGTCATCACGATTCAGTGAGAGAGAGGCTATGAAGAAGGGTCAATTAGATGCTGGAGGGAGCATGAGGGAAAGAGAAATGGGAGGGGGAGGGGCAGGTGAAAGGTGAGGGAGGGGAAAGAGCGAGGGAGAAGGACAGACTGGGTAAGATCATGACACTGAGTCTGTGTCTGGCATTCAAAGTCCCTGTGAGACGGACATGGCCAGAGGATCTGGCCAGAGGGGGAACCGAGATGGAGGAGCTCCCACTCTAGCCATTGCTTCATGCACTTCCCTCATTTACAGGAGGGACTATTTCTCTCCTCAAGAGAAGGACACTGAAGCACAGAGAAATAGCAGGACCTGCCATGGGTTGCACAGCCAATAAGTCAGAACTGGGATGTGAATCCAGTCTGTCTGACTCCAAACCCAGTGCTCCTTCTCACCATCCTGGATGCCTCCCTTTTTCATCCCGGAGAAGAAAGGCCTTGGGGGGACCCAGTTGTGAGCTCTGCTGGAGCAGAGGGAGGGTCTGTGTCCCATGGAATAATTGTCAGAGGAAAGGGCGGAAATTGTTATCAAATAACAATGGGCCTCATTTAATTCCCAAACTGCCCAGTATTTCCACTTTCCCTGTGGGAAATCGAGGGTCAGACATGCTTGTGATCTAAGGGTTTACAGAAGGGCTGAGTGTCAGATCAGTATCTAACCAGCTCAGTCTCCCTCGTTACCACACAGATGTCCAAAATTCAAGGGTATGGATTTCTTCTCAATAGAGTTTTCAAATATTTGTTTTGGACTCTCACATGGAAAAAGGAATGGCTTTCCCCACTGGACTCCAAGACCCATAACAGAGCAGGGACCAGGTCTATAGACCCCTGCACAGACATTGGCACACAGAAGGAGATGAATAAGGATTTACAGAATTAATGAATGTCACAATAGACAGTGAGCTCCCCATCACCAGAGGTATAAGCAGAGTTCAAAAGAGTACTTGGAGAAAGGAACTCAAGTATCTGTGGGGACTTTAAGATTCTTTTGAGAACTCAAACTATTCACTGAATTATCTACTCTGAACTATCCACTGCGTGGCTCTCAGATCCTTTTCAAAGTTCCTGCTGGGGTTTTAATATTGCCTGTTGCCACATGTCTCCCTTGCAATTCAGTGCAAACCAGCCAGAGTGAAGGGTTCTCATGGGGTTGGTAAGAGATGGCTGGTAGGAGGGACAAAGAGTTGTTTGTAGCTTAAGAGCCACTGAGGTTGGTGTTAATACACCATAGGACTGGACATCCCCTGGTATTCCAGACTGTGTCTGTAATCATAAAAAACAATGTTACATTATATCCTCTCTTGTGCACAGTGGAGAAAGTGTTGAACTCGGGGCGCAGCCCTGGTTCCCTCTGAGCCTCTGCCACCGAGTCAACTCTCTTTTCTGGATCTGTTTTCTCATGGGTTAGATAAAGCAGTTGGATATTTATTCCTGGTTTTAGAATATTTGAGATGAAGATGTGGGTAATTAAATTTCAGCACCATTCCATTCAAAATCATTGAAATAATAAATGAGGGATGGGCTGTGGTTTCCAAGGGTTAAATCTCAGCATTCTGGAAAGCTCAGCTATACAGAATGATCCTCATCCTACATATTAAGCTCTGTTCTAGTCTTCTCCCCTGCCTTCCTGTTGTCCTTGAATACTGACCCTAGAAAATTTCACAGAACTTGACAGTCCCAGGGCTTGGTTTGGGGGCCAGGTACTTACCAGGAACAGGTGCCGGGGGCGTCTGTTTTTCCCTGTTACTTTCATCAGTGTCCCTTCCTTCAGAAACTCCTGTGGAGAGAAAAGAGACTTTGATGATCAGGCTAGCGCCCTCTGCTGCTCTGGAGAAGGGTCAGGGGAGGCCCTTGAGTGGGAAATTTAAATTATGATGCTTCCTGAAGGACCAGAGAGCAGCTCATAGGGGAATTCCCAGCTTAAGAGAGAGATGCTCTGTATATGCTATAGCAGCTCTGGAGACAGACATCTTGGCCTTCATTCAGGAGCATTTCACCTTGAATTACACCAAGCCCCAAACACTGTTCTAGCCATAGAGTGGTCCAAGCAATGACCCTGATCTCTGAAGGTTTGCTAAAATAGCGGCAGACCTGTGAACAGTTGCTATACCCCCCTTAATTCTGGAGCATACAAAATGATGCTTAATAAATATTTACTGAACTGATGACCTAGGCCAAAACGTTAAGTGTGATTTTATAGAATCTCAGACCAGTGAGATCCCTGCTAATTTTGAGTAAAATCTGAGCACAATCTCATTATTTGTCTCTTGTCCTTCACGGAATGTAAGAGATAATGAACACATTTTTGACTATTTTTGAGCTGAGTTTTATGTTTTCCATTTGGAAGCTTAAAAGTGGGTAAATTTGTCTCTTGAAAAATGTTATTTTTAAGATGCTTTATTGGGGCTCTTGAGAGATAGTTTTCCTGATTTCCAAGCAATGCTGAACTAAACTAAAAACACTTAATGTTGCTTCTTCTCGGAGGTAAAAAGAACCATAGGGAACACTGAACCAAATGGCACTGTTTCTTTAAAGGCCCTGAGAGTGGAAAGCCCCAGGGGAGCCAGTCCATGGACCCAGTGAGCCCAGCCCTGCCCTCCCTCCTCCTAGGGTAAACAGCACCTGCAGCCAGGCCTGTCTGGGGCCAGCCCAGCTGAACAATGGAGCTTATCAGAGCCTTGCCTGCCTGCTGCCAGTACGCCCTCTGCCCCTGCCCATGGTGGCGGTGGCACTCACCCTTCCTGGTTGGAGGAGATCCCCTTGGCCCCGAACACTGTGCTCAATGTGGACAAGCTTCTGCAGGTTTTCCTGTGGGTAGGAGCAGGGTGAGGAGGAGATGGCCAGGGCCCCTTCAAGGGGTCTTATATCCTTTATAAGGGGTGGCATTGCTTCTTTCTGCTTCAGAGGAGGAAAAGAAGCGCAGAAGGACCTTGCCCACAATCTGACCTCCTGTTAGGGGTAGTATTGAGACCTGAGCCCGGGTCTGCAGAATGCTGTGTGGACTGCCCAAAATCAGACTAGTCATTCTGTGCCTGGGGTCTGACACTGCCATCTGTCTGCACGCCATGGCAATGGTCTCTTGGCCTTGCTTTGACATCTGATACACCTGTCTGTCTTGGCCACTGTTCCTACTCTAAGCCTGCGTTCCCCCCATAGGGCCTCAAGCATCCAAACTTCAGTAGCCCAGAGATGGCAGATGCCCAAGGCCAGACTATCTCTCTGGACTTATAGCCCAGGGTAGGGTCTCTGAGGGACAGTAACCAAGAAAATTTACCACTTGGGGAAAAAATGGGTCTGTGCTCCTTGAAAAATAAGTGTGCCTGAGAATTCCTACCAGTCCCCTACTGGGTCATCCACAATATGTAATGTGACACACCTTTTCCCCCTCTGCACAGCACCTCATTATACTAGAAATAACAAGCACCTAACCCATGGGGCAGGTGCCCCTTGAACCTGACACTGGGTCAGGTTCTAAAGTCAACTAATGAGGTGAAAGTTCTGTGTAAAGAAATTGCCTTAAAAAGGCCTTTACACTGTCCATAGTTTTGGGCATAGAATTCTACACATTAGAAATATTAAATAGTTGTTCTATTTCCACTTATAATGTAGAAGGCTGCAAGAGAACAATGCCCCCACCCTAACAGTGAGAAAAAAAAAAACAGATAATCTACAAAATCATAACTCTTCTTACGCTTATTGGAGAGCTGAGGTCACAAGGCAACCAACTGAATGAAATCCCAAAGACTGGCAAGCCCCTCCACAGAGATAAGAACTGTCATGCCTTTGGCGACACACAGGAAGAAGAGGTGGTTGGCATGAAGGGTAGGAAGAAAGCAGCTAAAATGGTAATGAATTTTTAAAGGTCAGGTGTGGGCTGGTGGGGCAGTTTAGAATAACAGTGGGCCCCCAGACACGAGAAAAATCTACAGTCACTAGCATGTTCTTTTCCAGAAGTTTCTCCCAGGTGCTCATAGGAAGAGTGGGGGCAGGGAAGGGGGCCAGAAAGAACCACCTCCCACCTCCTAGGTGGTAAAACAAATGCTGTCAGCCTCAAGGAGAGGGGGAAATAACCCCTTGGGTCCAGGATGGTACACTAATATAAGGCAGAAACCTCCAAGACCTGCAAGTTACAAGGCAGAGTTTGGATGCCATGCAGGAGAGGACCACAAATGCTGACAGAGTCTGACTCCCAGGCCCTGCTTAAGACTGAGGCTTGCCCTGCCGGTGTGGCTCAGTGGTTGACCCATGCACCAAGTGAGTGTAGACCCACGCACCAAGAGGTCACCAGTCCGATTCCCGATCAGGGCACATGCCCAGCTTATGGGCCAAATCCCCAGTGGGGGGCATGCAGGAGGTGGCCAATCAATGTTCTTTCTCATCGATGTTTCTATCTCTTTCTCCCTCTCTTTTCCTCTCTCTCTTTAAAAGAAAAAAAAAAAAGACTAAGGCTTGTACTAAAGAGCCAAGATTTTTGAGCTCAGCACTGAGTAACAGGAAACAGTAGTCTACCTCAATAATGGGCAAGAGCATGGGGAGAGATCCCTTCTGTGCTCCAGGAACTGCTAAAAGTTGAGGATGGAGCAGGAATATAAGAAAAACTCTCTGGCACTTCAGGCCCCACAAATAGTACCAGGAGCATGAAATCTGTGGAGTGATGAAGGTGACAACAAAATCCAAATCCAACTCAACTACTGACTGGATTGACCCAACTCCCACCCCTCACATGAACAGCATGTCAAAAAAAAGAGGCACACCCACTTCAGGGGGTAGATACTATTTCCCTCAGTCACTACGGTTCTTCTACACATGTTTGGCATTTAATCAAACTTTATGAGAAACACAAAATAGCAAGAAAGAACCCCAACTAATATTCAGGACATAAAACATTCAACAAAACCATAATGAGAAATGACATAAATGTTGGAACCATCAGACAAGGACTTTAGAGTAATTATGATTAATGTGTTCAAGGAGCTAGTGGAAAAGGTGGACAGCATGCATTAACAGATGGAGAATTTCAGCAGAGATGGAAACTACACAATAGTCAAATGAAAATGTTAAAAATTAAAAACACAATGTCACAAATGAAGAATTCCTTTGATGGGTTTAGCAACAAACTGAACACAGATGAGAAAAAAGAATCAATGAGCTTAAAGTTAGATAAGTAGAGATTAACCAAAATGAAACACAAAGAGAAAAAAGAAGTGCAGGAGGCAAAAAAGAAAAGAGTAACCAAGTGAATCTTCCAAAAGTAATAAATGACCACTTGAAACATAATGTTGTATGTCAACTGTAAGCGAAAAATAAATTAATTTAAAAAATAGAGTTAATGAATGACAACAAATCATAGATCCAGGAAGCTTGAGAATCACAACAGGGTAATTAACACCCAAGCCCCTAAAAATCACACATACTTAGACATCATAGTCAAACTTCTAAAAGTCAAATGTAAAGAGAAGATCTCGGCCCTGGCCGGTTTGGCTCAGCGGTTAGAGTGTCGGCCTGTGGTCCAGAGAGACCCAGGTTCGGTTCCCGCTGGGGGCGCGTACCTCGGTTGCAGTTTGTCCTTGGCCCTAGATGGGTTGTGCAGGAGGCAACCACTTGATGTGTCCCTTTCACGTTGATGTTTTTTTCTCTCTCTCTCTCCCTTCCACTCTATCTGAACAAAAAATGGGAAAGTGTCCTCGGGTGAGGATAACAAAAACAAAACAAAACAAAAAAACAGAAAAGAGAAGATCTTGAAGGCAGCTAGAATAAAGATACACATTACATAAGAAAGAAATACCACCACTGCAGCAGATTTCATATCAGAAACTATGCAGGCCATAAGACAGTGCAGTGGCATCTTAAAATTCTGAAAGAAAAAATTGGTCAACACGGATTTCTATACCCAGAAAAAACATCTTTTAAGAAATTTTAAGATATTTAAGAATGAAGGTAAACTGACCAATTAAGTAAATGAATTATGGATGGTGGGAGCTAGATTTCTTACTGTTGGAGTGGAAATTTACAGAATAGCAAGGAAAGGAGGCTGGAATGATCCACCCATGTGGTAATGATGAGAGTTGGAGACATCAGTAACAACTTATGTTTAGCTTAATGTAGATGATTATGTGGAATTATTTCAATTGACCCATGCAGTTCAAATCCATGTTGTTTAAGGGTCAGTTGTGCAGTTGGGAATCTGTGTATGCAGAGAGGACTGTAGTATACTTTGATTTTCAACTGCATGGGAGGTCGGTGCCCCTAACTCCCGTGCTGTTCAAGGGTCAACTATATATACACGTATATTTCTTTTCTCTGTCAGCTAAGATGACCTAAAAGATATCTCAGTAGCAATGATACACCTAGAGCCCAGATCTTGGATTCTAATACCACTCTACAATTAAAGAAAGCAGGGTTTCTTGGAGAAATGGCTGAATCTAAGACCAGGGCAGAAAATATAGGAAATGAGCCTGGAGCACCTTGTACTTCCAGAAAGCAAGAAGTGCTTAAAAATATATATAAACAAACAAAAAACACTCAAACACATATGCATGGGGTTATGTGAAAAGGGTACAGGAATCAACTGAAAGGGGTCCAAAGAGCCACAATGGAACAATTTAAGAAGTAAAATAAGTAAAGCAATATGAGATTATAACCTAAAGCATAAAGTAAATATCTATGAATCCTAACTGACATAAGTGATTTATTTATTTATTATGAATACATTAACAAATGAGGGGGAAGAGACAACTCTCCCATGCAGAAGAATTCCAAACAGTTTAGTTAGATTCTCTACTTTGCCATTAAGGAGGAGGAGCATAACTCCCTATTCCTTAAATATGGGCTGTGCATAGTGATCTTCCAAAGAGTATGGACAAGGTGGTGGTATGTGTGTATAATTTTACTGTGGAGAAACTTGACAAACACTACCTCAGCCAGGTGATCAATGTCAACATCAAATCATAAATCATGTTGCTAGTATGTACCCTTCATATGATTTGATGAAAGTGGTACATTGTTTCCATGATCCCCCCCGCCCCCCAATCACAAACCCAGTCTAATCATGAGAAAAACATCAGACAAATTCCAAAATAAGGACATTCTATAATACATGACTAGTATTTCCCTAATTTGTCAAGGTTATTAAAAAAATGAAGGTGAAAATGTTAGAGTCCATACTCATACATGTCTCCTCACTCTCTTCTGGAGGAACACAGTTTCCTTCTATGTTGTGGAGAAGAGGGCAATCAATGAATAATTTGATTTCAAGTCTTGAAGCCTGACCTTGTAACCAGATGTCTGATCTTTCTCCTAGGGAATCTCCTGAGGCTTAGTCTGAGTAGCTGGCAACTAGAAGACAGGTGCATTCACTCTCTGATCAAACCTCTGAACAGTCCTTGAAGGAGCTCTCATTGTTAACAAACCCAGTGCCAACCCCAAGCCCCTACGCCTACATTGAATGACACACCTCATGGTGGGGTTAATGAAAAAAAGAAAAGCCCAAATGTAGGAAGCAGAGAATAATGCTCCCCATGTAAGTTTATGTGTATCACATGAAGAGCAGGTGCTACATGTTGGCATATGGATGTATGTTCATGCAAGAGTATGTGTGAAGTTGCAGGTAAGATATGCATAAGGAAGTCTGGCCTGGTCATTAAGGCAGGCTCAAGTTCAAGAACAGTCTTTTCGCCCTGGCCGGTTTGGCTCAGCGGTTAGAGCGTCGGCCTGCGGTCCTGAGAGACCCGGGTTCGGTTCCCGCTAGGGGCGCGTACTTCGGTTGCAGTTTGTCCCCGGCCCTGGTTGGTCGTGCGGGTTGCAGCCACTCGATGTGTCCCTTCACATCGATGTTTCTCTCTCTTTCTCTGTTCCTCTCTCTCCCTCCCACTCTACCTGAACAAAAAATGGAAAAATGTCCTCTGGTGAGGAAAAAAAAAAAAAAAAAAAAAGAACAGTCTTTTCAAAAAGTAGTGCTGGAATAATTAGATGCTCATATGCAAAAGCATGGATTTTATCCATACTTCACACCATACATAAATATCAACTCAAAATGGATTAAGAGACCTAAATGTAAAATATAAAACTAGCAAAAAAAGACACCATAGGAGAAAATCTCTGTAACCTTGAGTGAGGCAAAGATTTCTTAGATATAACATTAAAATCATGATCTATAAAAGAAAACAACAGAATGATAAAGTGGGCTTTTTATTAAGAACTTCTGCTCTTCTAGAGACACGGTTGAGAGAATGAAAGACATGCCACAGGCTGGGAGAAAATATCTGTAAATCACATATCTGATAAAGGAGTGAAAGAAGGCAGACAAAAAAGAGAACATACTGAATAATTCTATTTTATAAAATTCTAGAAAATGAAAACTAATCTACAGTGACAGAGAGCAGACCAGTGGTTGCCTGGGGATAGGGATAAGGAATTAAAAAGGGGTACAAGGAAACTTTTGGGGTCATGGATATGTTCAGGATTGCAATTATGGAGATGGTTTCACAGGTACATACAAACATCAATTCTTATTTAATTGCACACTTTAACCATGTGTAACTTATAGTACATAAGTTGTACTCCAAGGGAGACCTGGGCATGGTGGAGGGGATCCTGGACCTGTACCCCACAGAAGGCACCTAGAGGCTGAACTTACCCCTTGCTCCATGCTGTCGTTGGCGTGGTCTGTGACTTTAGAGATGAGGGTCAGCGCGCCTGAGGGGGGAAGCAGAGCAGATAGCTGGGTCTTCTGGGGAGGGCCAGTCTACCCTCGCCTCTTCCCTGCCTTCTCCCCTCCCCTCTTCCCTGCCTTCTCCCTTCCCCACTCCAACTCCCCAGTCTAACGCATTTGCAGGGTCTTGTAAGTGGGTGGCACCAATTTTTCCCATGGCTGGGTCAGGTCACAGGCTCAACCCTAGCTTTGCCACCACTGTCTAGTGACCTTAACAGTGATTTGACCATTCTGTGCCTTAGTTCCCCTGGCTGTAAACTGAATATATTAAAACAGGGACTGACCTGGCAGGTCATATGGACAGCCACACAGAATTGGAAGAAAAGGGACACAGGTGGGTATTTTAGACCTGGAACTACCTCCTATCACCAAATTCTGTTACCCCCCCCCTTCTCCTCTGACTGGATGAGAGCCCATCCTAGGGAATCCCGTGTTGAGGTGAAGAGGGGGTCACCTCAGAAGCCCTGGAGGCTTCATGTGACTGTACCCCTAGCTGGTGGGGAGGGGACTATGTCCTGGGCCTAGAACTGATAGAGTCTAGAGTTGGGGCAAAACAGGACTGGGTCCCCTCCTCTGGGTTCATGCTGGACTTACCCTGTGTGTTATCATACTCAGCTGAGTCCGGGGAAAGGTTATTTAAATAGTCTGCAGGCAGAACAAGAGCCAGGAGTCAGTTTGCCTCAGTGAGGCCAGCCCCTCCTGTCCACAACAGGAGCCTCTCTCTCCAGAGATGGAAGTTTCAGAAGAACAGGGTGTCCACCCTGTCACCCCTTCTAGCCCCGTCACAACACCATACCACCACAAAACCAGGCCTCTAGGACTGCCACCAGCACCACTGCCACCACTGCTAGTCATTCTCTCATGAGCAACTGCTGTATGCATGACTGTGCTGTGCCTTCAGGAGACAGACACGAACAGGTGAGACACTGCCTTTAAGAAGCACACATCTAGGGGAGACAGATGTGAATGTCAACACAGTAGAGTGTGATGTGTTAAAGTTGTTTTTTAAAAAAAATTTTTTTTTCCTTTATTGATTTCAGACAGAGGAAGTGAGAGGGAGAGAGAGATAGAAACATCGACAAGAGAGAACATCAACTGGCCACCTCCTGCATGCCCTCCACTGGGGACTGGGCTCACAACCTGGGTATGTGTCCTGACTGGGAATTGAATGGGAGACCTCTTGGTGCATGAGTCGACGCTCAACCACTGAGCCACACCAGCTGGACTGTTAAAGTTTTAACATATTCATATCCACAAAGCCCTACACAGGCTGGCCTTGCTCCAGCTACCTCTCCACGTCATTCACTCATTCTGGCAATGCTGGCTTTTTACTATTTCTTGAACATGACAAGCTTGTTCTTACCACAGGGCCTTTGCACTCAGTATTCCCTCCACCTGGTACTTTCTTCTTCCAGATCTTCACAGGGCTCATGTCCTCACTTCACTGAGATCTCTGGAATGTCACCTCCTCAGAGTGGTCTTTCCTGAGTGCTATATCTAATAAGAGCACTGTTTACCTGCTTTATTTTTCTTCAGTGCTCTTATCACTGACATATAACATTTTAATTTCCTTTTTTGTTTGTTAGAGTATAAGCGCCACAGTGTCATAAGGTTTGGCTGTTTGATTCACTGCTATATCTCTGGCATTTAGCACAGGGCCTTGGACATAGTGGATGCTCAAAAATATTTGTTGAATTAGATAAAAGAATTATGTCTCCTGGCCCTAATGTATTTTTCTTACAGTCTTGGTCACTACCTGGAATTACATGCATAGCTCTATGTGTGTGTCTATCTCCCCCATTAGAACATCAGTTCCCCAGGCTAGGGTTTTTTTGTCCATTTGAGAGGCAGCTGGGTAAATGGGTCTGAAGCTCTGGACAGAGGTGTGTGTGTGTTTCTCGCAGGTGGAGGTAAGGAAGGGGATGACATTTCCTGGGGAGAATTTGTAGAGGGGGAAGGAAAGAGGTCCTAGGACTGAGCCCCAGGAAAAACATTTATGGGATAGTGGAGGAAGAAAGGTTATCAACAGAGATGATGGAGTAGTCAGAGAGGTGTGTGTGTATGTGTGTGTGGGGTATGTCACAGAGGTCTCAGGAGAGAAAAGCTCAAGAAGCAGGAAGTGGTCAGTGACAAAACCACAGAAAAAGCCAGAAGGTCTCAGGCAGAAAATATCCACTGATTCAGCCACAAGGAGGGCTTTGGCGGTAAGAACCGCTTTAGGAAAACCAGCGAACCACTGAATCAGGGAGGAAATGCAGAATGGGAGAAGTATAAGTTTGTGTTTAGGATGGAAGAGGTTGGAGGAAGACACAAGAGGTGAGCACTGAAGTGAGGCTTCCAAGGTGGCAGCAGGGGGTCCAAAGCTCCGCTGGAGAGAAGGTGGTGGCAGGGTCTAGTCCCTCTGGAGGCAGGGTCTGGTCCCTCTGGAGGCAGGAACTGAAAGCAATCCTCCCCCACCCCTTCCTGCCAGGGTGGGAGGAGAGGTTATCATCACACACCTTACCATCATCACCCAACCTCTCCTCAGGGGCCTCCCCTCTCCACAGCCACAGTGCACCTTGACCTCCCATGGAACCCACCTGTGAGGAGCACTTGGTACTGGAAGAGGCGCTGAACCACCCGCAGCAGCCTGTGCTTCACATTCTGGCCGCCTCCTTGCTGACTCTGCTGTTCCCAAGAGACAGAGAGGACAAAACTCCATCAGGGTCCCTAGCCTTAGGGCACTGGGCTCACGTATCCCACCTGCACTGTCCTATTCACACCTCTTCCTGGCCACCTGAGCCTCCACCATCTCTAAACCAGTTGCCCCTCCTCTAGGAAGGCCTCCCAGATGATACCACCCGCTGTGACAGTTCAAACCTCAGGCATGCAGTCTGTGCTACACCCAGTAATATGCCTCTCATGGTCCCAGCTGTGTATCTACTGTTAGTAACAGAAAAAAGCCCCCCATTTTTCTGTTCAATAACTAAACCCCAAGTTGATGGCCATTTGCTGGTCACTCAAATGGCTGGGGCTCCACCTTGCTTTGTGTTTCTCTACTAGGACAGAAGAAGAGCCACTGAAACCCTCCTTGTGGCTGGAGCTCACTGAGTTGTCATCAACTGTCCAACAAGGGATCTTCTGGGTTCTTCCTCCTGCTGGTCACCCTCTCCTCCCTCTGCCCCTCTGCCCCGCAGCTGAAGACTGACCAAGAAGCCCCACTGAGTTGCTTTTGGCCATACCCTCCCCACCCCCACCCCTGTATCCTTAGAGCAGGTTCTCAGAGGATCAAGGGACCCACCTCAAATTCACGGACAGCAGCTGCCAGCCGGGGAGAATGGAGGCAGTTCTCAGCGAGCAGACTTAGATACCTGTCAAACTGCAGGATGTGAGCGGCGTGGTGGTCAAACTCCTGCTCCCGAGCCAGAAAGACATCAGCCACCTTCTGCTGGCCCTCCCTGCAGCCAGGAGGAGGACAGGACAGTGAGAGCTGGAGTCATATCCCTGGTGAGGATGCCAGATTGACCCTCCCACACTTGTTTTACTTTGGGCTAATGACCACACACCTCTGTATCTCAACTTCTGCATCTGTCAAATGGAGAGACCACTTCATGTGGTGGGGTTTTTAACTCCCTTAATACCGTAGGGCAACAGAAGTAGGGGCAGGAGTCCGGGGACTGCTCACCAGTGCAGCAACCTTTCTCCCAGCTCCTCCAGGATCCCCTGATGAAGGTCGAGGATGGCTGGGAGTTTGCTCAGGCCATGCCTCAGCTCCTCCCTGGCCAGTGTGTCCTTGCCTTCTTGGTCCATTTCATCCAAGGTCCTCACAACAGCTCCGTAGAAATCCTGAAACCCCAAAGGCCTGTTACCTATGGGTTGACAAAACTGAGCATGTCCTCCCTGGCAGTTAGTTTCCTTGTGGCTTAGGAGCCCTGGCCTACAGACAGCTGGGACCTTAAGCCAATGTCTCAGACCCCAGTGTTTTTACCTGTAAAACAGGGCTAATAACACACACCTGTGATCACAGGTACCTGATGCCCAAAGAGTAGCTAGTACAACTCCTGGCACGGAGTAGGGCTTAAAGCAGGTTCGTTCCACACCCTCCCTTCTGGGAACTTTAGTTCATGCTCTTCTTTTACAAGGTGAGTGAGAAGTTGAGTAATTCCTTCTCTGAAGAAATATAAAGTTCTTCTTGACAATGAACCATCTTTGAAGTGGTTCATGTGCTTTTAAAACAAAGTCTTAAGAAGTCATAGGCATCCACTCCATGGCATAGCAAGCAGTCACCAAAAATGACGGGCTATGTAAATACTCATGTCCTGGCGCTAAGAAATCAAGAAGGGATACAAAGTTGTCTTCTCACAGGAACACAGTCGTGTAAAACATGAAAAAAGGAAAAACCAAAAAGGGAATGGAGTGAAATGGAAACAGTGACTGTGTCAGGGATATGGAATTAGAAATGATTTTAAAAATTTTTGTCTCTGTTTTCTAAAATTTCTGTATCATGATTAATTACTCTAAATATTAAACTAAATTTAATAAACATTAAAATGATAAAAATGTGAGACTTCTTTCTCACAACAAAAATATTTTATCTTTAAATACAACTGCTTTTGCAGAAGGCCCAGGTCTGTAGTTTTAAATACATGGAATATCCTGAAACAAACCTGAATTGTGGAGCAATGCATCTTGGGAAAACCTCAGCATTAGGAGTTATGTGGTTCAGCCTAAATCAGGAAGGTCAAATTTCCTTTACAACATTCAGGAAATATGATCACTCTGCTTTGTTGTTGTTGTTGTTGTTGTTGTTGTTGTTGCCTCCCTGACGGGGAACTCATTACAGAACAAGAGAGTTAATTTCATTGCTGAACAGTCTTCATTGCTTGAAAGGTCTCAACCTTCCTAATGCCGTGATCCTTTAATACAGTTCCTCATGTTGTGGTGACCCCAAACATAAAATTATTTTTGTTGCTACTTCATAACTGTAATTTTGCTACTGTTATGTCTTAGGCAACCCCTGTGAAAGGGTCGTTCGACCCCGAAAGGGGTCGTGACCCACAGTTTGAGAACCGCTGCTATAGAGAGATCTAAAAGGGGGAAATGCCTGAGAGGATGGGAAGCTCTTCCTCCAGAAAGTCTTTCTGGTCTTCTCCCACACAGAGAAGGAGTGCGGGAGAGGGGGTGGTGACAAGAGGGCCAGGGAAAAGGGCGGGGAGGTAGGATAGGAGCAGAGAGAGGCAAAAGTAGAAAGAGAAAAAAATGAGAAAACAGAGAGAGCGAGAGAGCAGGAGGAGACAGGGAGAGAGAGGGAAGGGTGGGAGGGAGGGACTGACAGAGCGAGACAGAACATGAAAGGCAGGAGATTCATGTGCCTCCAACGTCTATAAAGGCTGCCTGTGCTGTCATACAGGATAGCAGATGTGGAGGTTACAAAGGTCTGACTTCCTGAACACCTCATCCTGTCCTGAGCTGACCTCCTGCTGCTGCACCCTGCCCTGCCGGGAATTGCAGGGAGGACAGCCCACCCTGGCCTGTAGTCTCAAGGAGGGAAGATGAGCTGGTTCCTGCTGAGGCTGGCCCTCACCAGCCCCAGACTGGTATAACTCGAAGGTCTTGGGGAACCTCTAGCCCCATCACTAAGGTCAGTAACTCTTGGGGCTGAGTCGTGAACTAATGAATAGATTCTCTGGGCTGAAAGCATGTGTGTCAAGTGGAAGCCATATGCTTGAACTATAATTAGAAATGAATCTCATTGTATCTGAGCTACTACAACCAATCCTGAAAGAATGTTTCAGAGGACAGAGAAAGTGTAAATTATAAGTAACAAAGCAGCTAGGTAGGGAGGGCAGCTGGCGGGAGGTGGTGTCTAGTTCTTGTTTCTGCCCACAGCTGGCTCTGGACAAGGGATCATTCTGAACCTGGAGGGGAGGTTTCTCTGCTGACCTGGGAACAAGAGGACCCTTCCTCCCACTCTTTCCTTGTGAATCTCCATGCTTAGAACCCAGCCTCTAGCCCAGCAGAGTCTTCTCAGCCCTGGAATCCCAGAGAAAGAAAGAAAATGTCCTGGTAAGGACAATTACCCCTCTTGCTTGGGCAGCTGGTTGATAAAGGCCTTTCGACATACTCTCTCATTGGCCGGGTTCAAGCCCAGCTATAGCATAAGAGTAGTTGAATGACTATGGGCAAGCTGTAACCTACCTGAGCCTCCGTTTCCTTATCCATAAAAAGGGGATAACCATATTGCATGGGGCTGCTGGGAGTTCATCCTGATATTTAAAACTGTAAAGTGCTGTCCCTGAGGCAGTTATGATTATATATTAGGTATGACATCTTCAGAACAGGGCTATATCTGTTTTGTTTCCTGCTATGATTCTCAGGTCCAGCAGGGTATGTGACAGAGAAGAAGTGCTATAATGCTTGCCAATTGATGAATTGCAGGACCCTTATTTAACAGAAAAGGAGAGTGAATCATGGAGAAGCCAAGACCAGAACCCAGTCACCCTGATGCCCAGACCCTGAGCACCACAGAAAGGGGGTGGGGAGGGAGAGAAGGACAAGCAAAGACAAGACTGATGGCTGCATTTGTATCATACTCCAGGGAGCTTCAATATTAACTGCTCTGCAAGCTGGTTTCTTGTCTGTAATTAATTCTCACTAAATTGACTCAGTCCCAATGGGCAGGATGGCCATCATCAACGTGACTCATTTAAAAAACGGGAGCATAATCAGAATGGCCACAAACATCCGTTCTTAAAACTCATGCATCAGCTGGAAGTGCCAAGCACCAGCCACACCATCCATCACTCCCTGAAAGGTTTCTGCTCTCTCGGTAGTTCTGGGCCACCATTGCACCTGGGGGCCCTGGCATCCATCTCACAGGCAGGAAGGTGGTAGAAGATACCTGGCCCTCATCCCCTTACTCATTCAACAAATACACTGAATGCCTGCTCTGCACCAAGCCTTGAGGAGAGAGTGAGAGCAGGAGAGATGCAATTCTGCCCTCAAAGAGTTTGTAATTTGGGGGGAAATAAATGAGTAAAAAGATAATTTCAACACAGGAGTGTATGTGTTGTGGCAGGAAAAAGAACAGGAGGCATGGCAGTCCATAAGAGGCAGGCCTGGCTTAACTCTGGAATGTGATGATGCTGAAGGGTCAGGCAGGGGACCCACCTTCCATGGTCCTGCAGCCTTTTCAAGGCACTTGCTTTTCATCCTAGGGTGATGGGGAACCACTGAATAGTGCTAAGCAGGGGAGCAATGTGACCAGATATCTGTCTTTTATGGGAGAAACTGGAGGTGGCCAGAATGGGAGCAGGACCAAGGAGGTGGCCATTCTAGGACAGCAGGAAAGAGTTCAAGACTTGAGACTGGACCAGAGTCTAGCCATGGAGCTAGAGAGTAGATGGACTAGAGAGAATAAAGAGGAAAAAATGACTGGTCCTAATGCTTGCAGGGTCTAATCCAAACCCCTCAGGGCACCTAAGGCCTTCCTGATCCAGTCTACCCTCTCATCATACACTTCCCCAGCCCTTTGTGGAGTGCCTGCTCCAACATTACAGGGCTCTAGAGAACCCAAACGAATCCTCATCTACCTTCAGGGGTGGGGAATGTTCAGTCTGACGGCCGTATAAGGCCCGCAAAATCAATACCAGTTAACATCACACCAAATTAGCCTGACCAAATATAGCAGGCTAATTTTTAAGTTGATAATTTTGTATGGCTGTGAATGATGTTATAAATATACAAATGGCCCTAGGCAGAAGAAAGATTTCCCAACCCTGAACAGTTGCCTGTGGGTAACCCTGGGCAAGTCACTTCATTTCCATGGACCTCAATTTCGTCCTCTGCGAAATGGAAATAGAAATACCTTCTTTTTCCCTCATGTTTTAGGATCATTTCCTTCTGTGCCTTCCTCTCCTTAGACTATTACTTATCTCTGTATCCCCAGAACCCAGCCCAGGGGAGGTGCTCAACAAGTAACAACAGCCGACATTTACTGAAGACACACGCCATGCAAGCCACCGTCTGCTCAACACTGTGTGTTCAATTTCTCATTTCATCTTCATGACAAGCCTCTCACTTTGGCATTATTGTTATTTCCATTTAACCAATAAGGGAACTAGGCTCAGAGAAATTAAATAACTTGCCCAAGGCCACCAAGATGGCAAGATTTGAGCCCAAGTCAGTCTAACTCCAATGCCCCAGCTCTTCCCATTGCCCCACACCAATTCCTCATTCTACTGATGTCCTGAACAGGGGAGTGAGTTGCTCAGGTCAAGGAAGGGATCTAAAACCCAGATTTCCAGAATCCTACTCAGGGCACTCTGCCTAACCTCAGGGACCCTGGGGCAGCCCGGTGGAGAGGCTTGAGTGTAAAGACTATCTCTCTGCCTCTGGAGCCCAGACAAGTCTCCCAGAACTCACAGGGCTCTCAGGAACACTGGGCTTGCTTGACGTAGAAGAGAGGACCTCACATTCAGGGGCCTCATCCCCTGAACACTTCCATCTTCTCCAAACCCACTGTTGAGTTTCTGGGTGACACAGCATCCCTATTCCCTGGGCTGAACAGTTAGTGCATAGCCAGAAGGTCCTTGCAAGTGGTCAAACTACTGACGTCACTGCCAAGAGTCAAGGGGACTTGCTGGGATCCCATTTGGCCAAACACACACAACCTCAACCATGACCTACTATGTCACAAACATGCCTTGGCAAGGCATGAGCTTCCTAAAGGACATAACTTCACTTGGCCCGGTCAATCACTGGACGGTACTTTAGAACCCTGGAAATAATTCTCTGTGGGCACATAAAAAACTTCTTAAAATATATACAGCCCTGGCCATTGTGGC